GGGTTATTTAGGGGATTCTATAGGGGACTACTACGAGGCTGATTAAGGGGGATACTAGGAGTTTAGACAATAGCTCATATCAAGGGGCTCCAAAGGCCAACCAAGTTTGGGTATGCTGGACTTCCCCGGACTCGGAGCCTCACAGTTAGGATTCCGCGAAAGGGACCATCCCTTTGCACCCTGCTGATGCTGAACCCCAGATCAACTCCATAGCCCCACCATGGGTTGTTGTTGAATAGCTTTTTGCAGTTTTCATGAATACCTGAAGAACCCTTATCTGAATCCTTTTTTATTACAAGCCCTAACCCCGAACCCTGAACCCGAAACCCTGTACACCCAAGCCCGAAACCCGCAACTCTAAACCGTACACACCCTAAATACAGAACTGAAAACCCAAGCTCTAAACCCCTAGACCCTTCACGGCAGTTTCCATTTTCTTTTCCATTATCCCTATATAACCCCTATATACTATAGTAGTTTCCATTTTCTTTTCCATTATCCCTTCATGGCTCCTTCACCTTAAATGGGGGTCTCCTGAAATTAGGGGGACCATTTTGAGGATCCCCATATTAAGGATTATAGTATATTGGGGTCTATATTGGGGTCCCCCTATTTTGGGAAACTACCAAATAGTCAGCCAAGGAATGACCTGCCCTCGCTGCGGCTCCACCATGAGGTGCCGGCCCTTGCCATTTGCGACATGTTACGACCCTTTACTGGGTTGCTGTTAAGGAACTTAATGGGGTTTAGGGTTTAGGGTTTAGGGTTTAGGGTACTATTATCCCCCTATAATTGGAGAATCAAATGGAAAAGAAAATGGAAAATGAAATGGAAACTGGGGGAATATAGGGATTTAAGGAACTTAAATTGAGTTACTAATATTTTGGGGGAACCCTATTATTTACTATATATACCCATTACGGTGACTTAATTTAAGTTCCTCAACAGCAACCCAGTTTAGAGAGCTTCTGGCAGTGAGGACTCTCCCCAGGAATTACGAGTCCCTTTAAAGAGGATATGGGGGTTATGCAGGGGATATCCAGAGGTATATAAGGACAGTATAGGTTGAATGACTAGAGTTTCCAAAGATGCAGGGCTGTCTTGTTAAAACCTGCGCTTAGAAGAAGGATTCGAGTATCTTGGGGTCCATTTTGGCGTCCCCACTGACGAAAACGCCCATAAATGGAGACTCCACTTGGGTTGACGTAGTGTCATCCAACCACTGGAGGATTTGCCTTGTAGCGAGAGGCCACAAGCAAAAGTTTGAAAATCAGATGCTATACCTGTCCAGCTTGATTGGTGTTTGGGAGCGTCTTCTTGGTTGGGGTCCTTCCGGTGAGGACTAAATTTCTTAAGGGTGGGCCGGAACGCCTTTGCAGTCTTCAGCTCTGCGGGTCTTTGACACAATGTCCCATATATATATATATATACAGACACATATCTGATAGGGACCCGCTAACCCGCTGGTGACCCCATACTTCCCTAGGGTCCCTGAGCCTATCTCATTTCAGAGACATATTCCCAAAAATGCCCAAGTCCCACTGAGCCAGGGCCACCACGCCCGACAGCACTGTGAGCACCCAGCCGCCGCGGCCGCACACGCACGGTGCGAGCCTGTCGGAGCCGGGGGCCTATGGATTTAAAGCACTTACGGGCATGGAGGCTTAAGGGTAGGGAGAGTTGAGGGTATGTAGGGTTTAGGGTTGGGGTTTTGGTTGAGGACTTAGGGTATGTGTTGTGTGCAGCATAGCGTAGGAAGGGCTCAACGGCTGGAGGATGGCAGTACCAAAAAAAATCCTGATGGTGGCGACTTCCGCGGTCACGTCGGACATGGCATTCTCGCGTTTGTTTTTTGTATTTGTGACTGCGAGGTTTTTCACACGTAGGATGCCCCAAAGCTGGGGGTTCATGGAGCTTTTAACATCTGTACACTCCTCTCAGAGTGCCAGGTTTGCTTGACTGCGCAGCTATAGCATAGTATACCCCAGAGTCTTGTTCTCATTATTTACGAATTATAAACCTTTATACCAACCGAGTTGCCATCTGGATTTCCATTTGATTCTATCCCTCAAGCCCTGCATATCCCAGTGTAAGCATTATATCAATATAATGCCTACAAGCCCGACATATCCTTACTTATAGCCCGAACCCCTAAACCCTAAACCCTGAACCCTAAACCCTACCTAAACCCAACTGTAGGCCACTGTATGCTTTGGGCCGCTTGTGGGCTTCTAAGGCGCTCCAAACCGAAGCTCGAGCGCGTTCGGACCTGGGCCGGCACCGTCACATCCTTGCGGGCGGCAGGAGTAGGGTTTAGGGTTTAGGGTTTGGGGTTTCAGGAATCTGTTTCCCTAAGACCTCCCTATAATCCTATATAAGCCTATATAACGCTGTAGAACCACATATACGCCAATAGAACCCTGTATAACCCTATACAAGCCCATATAGCCCTATATAAGCCTATGAAGACCTAAGGTCTCCTAGACCTGCTCAAAGCTTCCTTAAGAGGTGCATGGAGGGTTCGATTATCAGGCTTGCTGGTTGGTACTTTGGTGGGGTGTTTTCCTAAATTAGGGGTACCTCTGTTAGGAGTCCCCATAATCAGGATTATAGTATTTTGGGGTTATATCGCGATTTCCTATTTAGGGAAACTTTCTGGAAGAGCTTGAAACAGGCAGGGATTCTTCTCTCGTTGTAGCAGCTTGCTCTCGGGCAGATGGAAAGATCAAGTGCCGCAGGTACACCCTTCTACCACAAAACGTGCTGCATCAAGTTGCATTTTCAAGCAGTGGCTGTGTCATGCTGTTGCTCTAGGGTAAAAGGACAGTCCGAACCCTAAACTCTAAACCCTAAACCCGTTGCATTGTGCAACATTGATGTTGGCTGCGATGTAAGGCCAGAAGCTTGAACTTGGGAGTGCGGTCCCTGGACCCCAAACTCTCAACCACATGAGCTACTTTGAATACGGGTTTCTATGGTGATGTAGTACAGTCCCTAATATGTTTCCTAATAGGAACCCATGTCCATTAAGTCTGTGGAAAAACGGACAGTGGCTCATATGTACGCTCCGGACCCTTGAAACCTGAACCGTGAATTAGCAGTTGGCTTTTGGCGCTGCTGCCTCCAGGAGCTGTTGCAGTTCCCCAAGGCACCGCAGAAAGCTCTGATGATCAAACGGCCTAAGTAGATACTTTCGGTTAGGCACCCACCAACTAAAAGCCACCACAAGGAAAAATGGTCCTTGTTTTATGGCCCTCATATACTCGTCTTCTATGGGAGCTTAAGCCAGTAGATATTCTCCATAGACATTATGGTGCAAAGTGGGTGCTATTCATAGACCTGGGTCCCCAAGGTAGTGCGCAGGAATTTAGCTTTCAGGTTGGGTTCTTCAGGCTCCCATAGTCCTTGTTGTGCCCTTGTAGAGTCCGCATAGATCCAGTTGTCCCGACAAGCCCTGCATCATTCCGATTTTGCCTCAAGTGCTGTCAGGTGTCTTGCTGTTGCAGAAGCCTTGCTGGATCTCATGATTACAAAGGCATATGAGCTATAGTCTAAACTCCTTAAAGGGGAGATATATAGGGGATTATATAGGGGACTACTATAGGGTATATTAAGGGGGATACTAGGAGTTTAGACTATGGCTCATATAAACCCAACATGAGCTTCACAGCAGAAGAGCTAAACATCACCTGTTATGGCAATGTCAACTGCTGAGGTCGTAACCAAGGCAGCTAGAAGCAACAAGCAACCAGAATGCCTGTAAAATAGGAAAATGCCCCTACGCCTCTGATGACGAGTTGAACCCCAAACATATCTAAGCATATTGGTTGTAAGTAGGGAAAGGAGAATTGGATCTCACTAGTAGTAGGCCTAATATAATCCCCAATAGCGCAGTCGGTGCCTTTTTGTGTTCAATTCCTTCATTCCCTACTAGCAGCCAGCTGGTAAGCCCTGAGCCCACTGACCTGCACATGTTTGGAGGTACTTTGACCTACACGAATGCTGAGGCTTTCGCACGGAAGGAATGGTGAACAGCAGGGCTTCAGTCATGTGAGTAGCATTGTAGGTAGATGCTAGAAATGTAGAAGGTTGTTTTGGCTGTAGTGTTCTTGCTTTTTTCAGTCGCCGAACAAGATTGCTCATTTGTGCGCTTGACTCTGCTTGTGGCTAATGCATCCAATTCCTTTCTGGCCGCCATCATCATATATGATTTCATCGGTGATCTTAGCTGAGTTGTGATGTTCACATGCCATTTGGTACTGAGAGTCTCTGAAACCTTCAACGGGCCCTTAGGCCCCAAGCCCCAAACCCGAACACCGAAGCCCCAAATCCTGAACCCTACTAAACCCTGAACCCCAAGCCTTAAATCCTCAACCCTGAAATCTTTGCTTAAGATTATATTGAGGAGCTCTACCTTGACATTGTGGGCTTCCATCCCGTGGCACCAGCTTGTCGGCTGCAAAATCTAAATCAGGCATTTAGGGTTCCTCGTTGGCGGGTCCCGAAAAGAAGATTGATTCTAGTGCTCTGTACCCATATGGGTAATTTTTAAGATTATGGGGCTCCTTTTGGTTTGGATTATATTCTGGCACCTAATATTTAGGGGTACCAGAATGGACTCTAATTTTGGGAACTCCCCATATGAGGACAGCGCAGGGCTTTAAAGGGATCACACATTACACGGTCATTTTTTCAGCCGGTTCTGAATGGATCCGACTTTGCGAGTGGTAAGATGGGGCATTGAGTAGGGAGCGAACTTGACCGTTTAGGGGGTAGGGTTTAGGGTTTAGGGTTCAGGGAACTTACTGGTTGCTAGCAGGGAATGAAAAATGGAAATCAACCTGGCAACCAACATATTCTTGGCTGGTATATAGCTTATTGGCGCTTAGAAGAGAATAAGGGAATATAGTACCCATATAATCCCTACGTATTATATTCTCTAATTCCCTACTAACAAGGGGTCCATTCCTCCATCTCCTATTCAAAAACCAGCGAGGGGAAGTCGTTCTGCAAGGGGCAATGAGGATCAGCAAGCCCTAAATCCTAAGTATTAAGTTAATCCTAAGCCCTCAATCCTAAGTATTAAGTCCTAAGACTTGAATCTTAAACCCTAAGCCCTAAGCTCTAAACTCTAAAGCCTCAACCCTAAACCCCAAAACCCTAGACTCTAAACCCTAAACTCTACAACCTAAACCGCAACCTAGCAAGGAGCGGAAAACTTTTGCCATCGTCAGCGAAGCGGACCAGTAGCCTGGCGCAGATTTTTTGAAAAGGCCTAGTTGAGGGCTCAGGGGTTTCAGGGTTAAGGTTTTAGGTTTCAGGTTTTTGGGTTTAGGCTTTTAGGGATTAGCGTTGCAGGTTTCAGGATTAAGGGTTTAGGGTCTAAGGTTTTGGGTTTAGGGTTGGTTGTTATAAGGACACTTGGGTTTGAGGGTTTAGAGGCTTTTTGTTTGTTTTGGGTTTACGGGGCTTTTAAGCCCCGGCATGGAGAATCAAATGGACAAGACTACGGAACATTAAATGGAAACTGGGATTAGATATTACGAAGACCCCCCACCCTGTAATAGTGGCTGTAAGGGATAACTTGGATTATACTAGGGTCTTATTATGCTCCTCCTAAGTTATTCAGTTTATAGGGATTAGGGTTTCTCAAAATTAGGGGTACCTTTCCATAGACAGGATTATGGTATTTTGAGGTCTGAAGCTGGGTTTACACAGGGTATGAGATTTGCCCATCACATCAGCATCAATCGAGCATGATGTCGCTGTATAGCTTTCAGTGAGTTAGATGCAAAGCCCGATGCTACAAGCGATGCTACAAGTATGCTGCGGTCAAGCGTTTAGGCTTTAGGGCTCAGGGTTTAGGGTCTGGGGTTTGAGGGGTAAGAGTTGGTGGTTCAGGGTGAATACCCTTGTATAAGGTTCAAAGGTACCTACAGCGTCCCCTAAGCAACCTTAAATAGGAGTCTCCACTTTCCTTTCTATTATTACTACATGCTCCCTATATGTCCCCTGCGTAATATATACCTTATTGTAAGACCCGACATTCCACCACGACAAAGCCGCTCCACAGTGCCTTGTGCTACACCTAAATCAGGGTTTAGCGTTTAGGGTTTAGGGTTTAGGGCCCCCAAACAGCAAGCCTTAAGTGCGGGCCTTTCCACTGCGAATCCCGTGCCTTCACGTAACTAACATAGGGCTCATAATCTTTTAGGATTGCTACTGTGCGTTTTAGTAGCTAGCTTTACGGGGCTCCGGGCTAGTTTAACCCCAATTTTACCATTATTATACTATAGTAGTCTCCATTTTCTTTTCCATTATCCCACTATAACACTCATATAACCCCTATATACCCAGGTACAAGAAGCACTGCCGTCTACAGCGCTTCAACGAGCCCCATCCACTGGACCTCCAGATTTTTGGAGAGGTAGATGGGTGGTGCCAGAACTTGGTCTTCAGTCTGGGGTTCCTATGTTACGAAAGACTTTGGGTACTGTATGCCTGGGACATATAGAAACACACCCGCACACTTATAATCACTGATATATGGATGTATGTATGACGTTTGTCATTCATCCGACCGCATGCGTGCGTGTATACACGCTCGGACCTGAGCTTTGGCACATAGCCATACAGCATCGGAATTCCCAAAAATGCTATAGCATGGGTCGTTATAGTTCAGTGCCTGGTATCTTGCTATACTATACCTTCAGGCTGCAGACACGATGCTGCTGGCTTTCGCAGGGCTTCTGTCGGCATCACATGGCCTGATGTACCTGTAATTGCCTGTAATGGAGGTCTCAACAAAGAGGGGCCCTTGTTTTGGGGGGCCGTTGCTACCATGTGGGCGGCCAAGGACATCCTAAGCCTGTTCCGTGATGATATCATTCTGGGGTGGTTGCGCATTCTGCCGGGGGACTGGTCCATCAGGATGCCACGTATGGCATTGCTTGATCATGAAACCGCGATGAGTTGTGAGGCTTTTCGAACGTGTTAGCAAAACGCAGCTGAGAGGCTGTGATCGAAACCCTCTGGTAGGGGTAGGCAAATGCGCAGGCTCAGATACAGTTTTCATGCTGTTGAACTGCCCAGGCACACCTGTGTGTTAGTCAGGGATGGATTTGGAAGGCCTAGTGGCCAAAACCACTCAAAGGATCGACAGTGCTACAATAGATGGCACCTTCAGTACACTTGCCCTTTGGAACTTTCAAATGCGCCGAAGAGATCTTGGGACCATCAAGACAAATACGTTCGGCAGCACAATCGCAACTGGTTCTCTCGTCCTTTCTGGTGTTCTGTTGCTTGTGATGATGGTTGATATTGGCGAATCCTGGCCGTGCAGGACTTGCCGCTGCCGTCCCCGACTTCGCAGATGACAAGCCCCAAGAACATGGATGCCTCCCCGATGTCCCCAGCTTGAACCAATGGCCAGGAATACGGTTCGACGGTTGCAAGCTTCAGTGCGCAGGATGTCTGCGATGTAAGGATTATTCGGGGATTGCACAGATATGAGGCAGCTATGATAGTCTCGTGCTGGCTTGTTGCCACTTTTATTGTGACTATCTGGTGTTCCGCAAAGGCGTGTTTGTTTTCTGGCAGGCGTAGACGGTGGACATTGATTTTGGAAGAGCTCTGAGCACTCTGTGTGGCATAGCAAGATTCATTTGAATGGGCTGCGAGGGTCCCAGCCGCAAAATCACACGAAGAACCTCCTGCCAGCCTGAATTGACTGCAAAACCTGAACTCAATCCACGCTTGGATTATGTGCCCTGATAGATCCTTAGGGTGGGGGGGCTCTGCGCACGTGTCGGCATGCATTTGGGAGTTTCCCAGGAAACGCCCCATGCAATCCTTTCGGGGACCCATACATGTCATCTCCTTATGGAAACGCCCAAAAATATGTGAGGTCCCCAGGGCCCTCCTTTTTTGAGAAAGCCATTTAGCTCCACTGGGAAATTTTCTAAAGAAGGTACTTAGCCTGGCGCCCACATTCTTGGAATTCAGATATTGGAATATCCTTAATAGGGACCCAGAATCTCCTTGTCCCTTTGTTATGTGCTGTGTCCTAAGGTCCCTAGAACCCACATATCTTCAGCAAGGCCCATATTACAGCACTCCTGCCCCCACTTCTAGAGTAGAAGTTGCCAGTTGCAGTGCTGGCTGTATCAGAAGAAGAGTCAGGTACCCTATAAAGATGTAGTAGTTTCCATTTTCTTCTCCATATCCCATATTACCCCTATGTTCCCTTCTTCCCTGCTTGGAGGCAATCCCAAAACCCTAATGCCTAAACTCTTAACCCTAGGCCCTACACCCTAAAACCTTCACCCTAAACTACCTGGAGGTCCAAGTCGGAAGCTGCCTTCTCTCCTGACGGTCCACCAGTATCTCCAGCATCTCCTAGCAGAGAGGTGGGGTGGAATGCCTCTATAGGTTCTATAGAGGCTATCTTGGGTTATATAGGGATTATATGGGGCTATATAGGGATATAGGAATTCATGGGGATGATATGGGGATATATTACCCCAATGCTTGTCGCACAGTCTTTGCTTGGTGGTCCTTGGGGTAATGCAGAGGTTTTTCTTGTTTCCACTCTCCGCAAACGCGAGAGGCATCAGGCATTGCTCAGGACAACGAGGGCATGGATGCATGTAGCCCAGATCGTGATTTCCGTAAATTGGGGACGCCTAAATCTAGATCCCAATCTACTGTAATCCTTGTTTTAGGGACTTGCACAAGGGGCTCCAGTGGTAAACCCTAAACCCTAAAACAGCAATTTTGGAAATCTTCCTATCTTGACTGAGTTAGTTCCACTGAAAAAGCCAGGCACCCCCAAGCTTCACGCTCACTCCTACTTCTTCGGCCTCTTGGCTGATGGGGCATAAGGGTTTAGGGTTTAAGCGGTTTAGGGTAGGGCTTTAGGGTTTAGAGTTTTAGGGGTGTAGGGTGTAGGGTTTAGGGTTTAGGGCTTAGGGTTTGAGGTTTAGGGCTTAGGCTTTAGGGTTTAGGGGTTAGGGCTTAATTGAGCACCACGATGATGGTCGCAGACTATGGCCCCAGCATATCAAACAGGCCTCGTAACCTCGTACCGTTGGTATCTGTTGGTAATTCGAGGGCCCTACCGTACATCAAGGACACGTGGCTTTGATGGGCTCAGGTTTTTGACAGAAAATTGTAGTCGGGAGAGGGTGAGCGGTTACATTTTCTGCACGTTGCCGCGACTTTCATGTACTAGTTGTTCTGTTTCCTATGCGGATGACTTAAGCAAAGTCGTGCTGCAACGTTATGTCGTTTGAAGAAGGTTCTTCCAACGCTAGAAGAGAAGAATACCCATCGCCTTGTTTGCGATTATCCAAAAAATTCCCAACAGTGTCTGACATCTTGATAAGCCGCTTAAACCCTGAGACTCATGACACCATCGCATCCTAAGAATACAAAGCTACCCGTCTTCAGCGCTGCAACTAAGCCCTCAGTCAAGCTAGGCCTGACATCCCGAGCAAGCGCTAAACCCTGCACCTTCATCCCGGCAGCATCCGGATATAGTCATGGAAGCCCTACTAGTCACGGTTTAGGGTTTAGGGGGCTCAGGGTTTGGGGTTTATATTTGCATATATATATATACACATGTGTATATATATATATATATTTCTATATAGAGATATATCCCTTGAGTTGCTTGGTGACAACAGCCCAGTCTTATGATGCCCAAAATCCAGCCCAGCCTTTGACTTAGCCCTGACCCGGCAACCCTAAACATTCCTGCCGAATCCTAAAACCTAGCCCTAGTCTATAAATCCCAGACCGCAACCTGTAACTGGTCCTAACTCCTGAGCCCTAAGCTTTAGATTCAAACGTGGGGCTCAGGCGAAGCTAGGGCCTGCACCGACGACAACGCTCGACGCAAGCGCGATGACGTTGGACCTTCGGGAAGCGCAGGCATCGGGGTTTGTGGTTCAGGGCCTGGGGCGCGGGATCAAGAGTTTTGGGCTGGGGTGTCGACTTTAGGCTCTAGAGGTTTGTGGAGAGCAGGACGGATTATCTAGGGACTGCTGCAGTGTTGCTGCAGGACATTCCCTAGTAAGCACGGGCAAGCAGAGATGAACACCTAACGCAGTAGTGTGGGTATATCAGACGTACTACAGGACGCTGTTGCTGCGTGGGGTCTAACCCAAAGTGGCTTAGCGCCTCCAAGCCCCCAAAAAATGGAACCTGGCCTCCGAAATCTAAGCCCTGAGGCCTGAAGCAGGAAGCATGACGCCTGGCTCAGACCCTCCAAACCGTTGAGGTGAAATCACCGCCTCCAATGCTATCTGAGCCTGCGGCGCCGCCAATTCAGCAGCGGCGTGCCCTTGTCAGCATACGGCTTGGTGCGGTTTTGGCTTGAGCTTTGGTAGGGCTAGAGAGCCTTCTGCAGGAATTTATGAAGATTTGGGGGTGGAGCACTTTGTCGACCTCAGGGTTGTTTTGTGACAGTTGTCTCGGGCCCATTTTCTGAGCGTGACAGCTGTGAGAACCAATCCAGGAAATATTGAACCTTATTATGCCCTCTCTGGTAGTCTCCCAAAACAGGGGGATCCCAATGTAGACCCCAACCAATATAATCCTGAACCCCAAAAGCGTTTGTGAAACCACCTGCCACAGAAGTGACGGGTGGGGCTTCAGCAAAGGGGTCCTGAAACAGGGGTCTGTACTGCCCTAAACCCTAAACCCGTGGCTTCAAGAAGCCCAAGGGTTTGTCTTGCCTTTGGGGGGTCTGCAGAAGATAAGGAGGCTTAGGAGTAGGGCAATCAGTACCTAGAGCATATGTGAACTTTCAATGCTTGTGAGATTTTTGTCGAAAGATGCTGAGAACTAGGCACTACATCAGCTGTTTGCGTTAGAGCCACTCACGCTACTACTAGCTCCACTTCCAAGAAAGTTAGTTCAGTCTAGAGATTGTACGGCTTTGGAGGAGAAGATGGCACCGGGCAGGATTTCTACACTAGTTGACTTGTTAACGGTGAGATCTGGATGTTTCTCCTTTGCTTGGAACTCTGCAAATTCCTTATCTCGAGAACCTTGCAATTTTGTGCTGCAGCCGAGGCATATCAGCCAGAGATGCGAAGATTGTGGAAGGCTTTGGGGCTGGCATGCCAGATTGCTTTAAGCTACAAACAAACGGCTTACATTCACATCGCAAGCGCAAGCGCCAGGGTTTATGGGATTTTGCTTTTGGGGGTTGTCCAGAGGAGCTAGAGACACGGAGGGGTTCCGGCGGGGGTGTTATGTCCTGGACCGTGCCGTCAGCGGCTCAGACCTACAGTTCACCAGCTCTGGGTCACCTGTGCCATGACCTCGAAGCAGGCAAAGGAGGGCAGTGGCGTTCTCAGCCCTTTGCTGCAAGCCGCACTGAATCTCACAAAGATCCCCTTCGAAGAGCGGCGATGGAAGGCCTGACGAACCCATGTGGCGGACAAATTGCAGAAGGGCCTACGCATGAGGGTATGAGGAATACAGGATGGTAGCTGTACACCCGCTATTATAATTTTAATGGTACTCTTCTCTTCAATTTTGTCTTATGATCTTAGCGTAATGCAAAGGTGACCTGCATTTGCCGCCCGCTCTGCCCCGCCTTCCTCCAAACTAACATGCAACCTCGTACGGGCCTTCTTGAGGGAAGTACACAAGAGGATCAGCTTTCAAAATTCCATGTTTGTTTGTGGTAGTGCAACCCTGAACACTGAAATCCAAACTCCAGACTCTAAGCCCTGGATCCCATCAAGACTGGACTACTGAGTGGCCCGGAGAGCCTGCTTTCTTGATTAGGGCTTAGGGTTTTTGGGTTGTCCCAAGCACCTGGGACCTTGCTATTTTGGCTTAGGGTTTAGGGTTTAGGGGTTGGACCCCCTCCCCATGATTGGAAGTTTCCGTTTGGTTACCATTGCTTCACTCCCCACTAAGAACCAGCAAGGTACCCCAAAACCCTAAACTCTATATGCTCTATGTAAACACCCGGATCCATTGTGTTATCCATTCCCGAAATCCAACGCTCCCAGCCCAAAACCCTAGATAATAGTTTTGCATTTTCTTTTCAGTGGCTTTCAACCAACAAGCCTAAACCCCCCCAGGAACCCCTATACAATTTGAATTTCCAATTCATGTTACATGTCCTTTTGGATTTGATTTTCCATGATTGGGGGAATCCTCCGACTAAACAATCTCTAGATATGCCTTAGTATTCCCTACATTTTCCGTGTGGTGGAGGGTATAGTCCTAAATAGCCTTGGCAGGTCATGGGTCTCTGCTTGACCCTCTTCTGTCTACTTCTTGGAGAGGCAGCCACCGCACGTCGCTACGCGAAGGTTGCTGGCACCTTGGGGTTTAGGGTTTAGGTTTTGTTGGGGTTTTGGGTGGTGTACGACGTAGGGTTTGAGGGCTCTAGTGCTCAAAAGTGTTAGGATGGGAGCATTTATTAGGGGTTTGTAAGGTTCTGAGAAGTTCAGGACTTTAGGAGTTTAGGGCTTCAAAATACTAGTTACAAAGCTCTTGCTACCCTAAACCCTTACAACCCTTAAAACCCTATCAAAACCCCAAACCCTTATAAGCCTAACCCTCAAACCCTTGTAACCCGAAACCCCACCCTAAACCATTAAACCCTAAACCCTTAAACCCTTAGCCCCGAAACCCTTACACCCTTACACCCTTAAACCCTTAAACCCTTAAACCCTTAAACCCTTAAACCCTTAAACCCTTACACCCTTAAACCCTAAACCCTTAAACCCTAAAGGTGCATGGCAACCTCATGACGGCCCTTCAGAAGAGGAAGACCACGGCCTTCCGCTTCGGGCTTTGGAAGGTCGGCCAGGCGAGGCTGCTTAGGGTTTTGGGTTCAGGGTTTAGGGGTTTAGGGGTTTAAGGGTTTAGGGTTTTAGGGTTTTAGGGTTTAGGGTTTAGGGTTCAGGGTTAAGGGTTTAGGATTTTAGGGTTAAGGGTGTAGGCTTTAGGGTTTGGCATTTAGAGTTTAGGGTTTAGG